ACCAGGCCGGCCCAAAATACCAGTTTTTTAAAATCCTTTTTACTTTTGTTGCACCTTTGAGCTTTTTCCATTTGGGCTATTCCATGCAGTGCTGCTAGTAGATGTCTTCTGATGCACGTCTATGCTCATTTTTGTTGGGCACATACTTAGGAGCAGAAGTGTGGGGGTCCTAGAATGTGCATCTGTTCAGCCAAACGGTTTTCCAAAGTGGTTGCACCAACTTGCACCTGCTCCAGCCATGTCTGAGAGCTGAGCTCTGCATCTTCACTAACACTTGGCAATCGGTTTTATTTTTTTTAATTTTGGCCATTCTGGTGGTTTATATAGTGGGTGTCTCATTGTGGTTTTATCTGTATTTTCCTGATGATTAGGGATGTTGAGCATATTTTCTTATGCTAATAGGTCATTTGAATATGCTCTTTCTTGGAGTGCCTTTTTGAGCCTTTCAACTATTTTTTAAAAATTGAGTTGCTTGTTATTTTCTTGTTAATTTGCAGGAGTCCTTCATATATTCTGGATGAGAGTTTTTTGTTGGAGATACATATATATCCCCATATGCAAGGAAATACATATATTCCATATATTTATTCCATATACATATATTACACACACACACACACACACACACACACACATTCTTTGCACATGGGCTTGCTTTTTTTTTTTTTTTTTTTTTTTTTGCAGCTGGCCTGTACAGGGATGGAACCCCAGACTTTGGTGTTATCAGCACAAGTGGGTCTGCCTTTACACTCTCTTTAGAGGAGCAAAGTTTTTAAATTTAAAGTCCAAAAAGTCCAACTTATCAATATTTTCCACTATGGTTCATGTCTTGTATTCTGTTTAAGAAGTCTTTGTCTATCCGAAGGTTATAAAGATATTCTCCTATGTTTTCTTCTAGAAACTCTATTGTTTTGTCTTTCATAGTTAGCTCTGTGATCTATCACAGATTGATTTTCTGTATATGGTGGAAGGTAAGGGTTGAGGTTTATTTTTTCTATATGGTGCTGGTGAGAGTGAAATGTTTAACTTCTCAGGAAAATGGTTTGGCAGTATCTATTAAGCTTGTGCTTATTAAGAGTGTTCCCAGCCACTCTAATGATACTAACCAGAAGTCAGAAATAAATGAAGGGTCCTTCAGCTCGAGAATGGATAGATTGAGGTATGGTTATACAATGAAATTTTAATCAGCAATAAAAAAGAAGAAACTCTCGCAGAAAAACACAACCTCATGGATGAAGCTCACAGACATAATGTTGAGTGAAAGAAAAGTGGTTAATTTGCGGGGAGGGAGTAGTTTGCAGTGGATACTGAAAGGGGCAAGAGAGAATCTTCTTGGGTGTTGGAAACGTTCTATATCTTGATCTACGGAGTGCATGATAAAAAGGTGCAATTATATGTAAAAATGCATAAAAGTTCACGTGCTTAAGTTTAATGCACTTTACTGTATTATATCATATCTCAATAAAAAAATTAAGTGGCACCTCTCTGCACCACTCTCCCTCAATGTCCCTCTGATAGCACGCCTGAGATACCCTCCTTCTGCTGTGGTTGGAATCGCCACTGCTGGCCCTGGAGGCATTTGTGCTGTTGGGTCATTTCTCCATCTGGCACCCTCCATCCCTTGGGGTGCCCCCTCTTCCTATGATCTTCATTTTTTTCTTTCGACCTTTGTTTTTTTTTAAACTGCCTTCCTCAGGAGCATCTTTAGGACTCTTCCAGGGCCATGGACTTGGACCTCATTCTAATTAATCCAGTGATAATTCATTTTTACTAGATGGAAGTTCCTGTCACTGCTCCCTTCCCCACCAGCTGGCTGCAGCCACCTCGGGTGTTTGGGGTGAGGAGACACAGAGGCACAGGACATGGCACCGCCTGCCCCACCAGCTCTGGTTGAGTTAATCCTTTCCCCTGCATGAGGCTTAGGAGGCCTTTCCCCATTAAAAGAGACTTATACTTATTGCCTTTATTTTTAAATGTTTTGTGGAAAATTAAAAGATGAGAGACTGCCAGGCAGCACATGAACCAGCAACCCAGAGAGTGTCTGTGTTTTCCAAGCCTGGCCAGAGTGGGTCTGGGATCGACCTGGTCCTCCCCAGGCTCCTCTGCCTTCACTTATTCTCTGGGCTGCTCAATTCCCTTTAAGAAACAAATCAGCTAAGATAATTTTTGCCGTTAACTACAATTGCCATGGAAAGGAAGGATGGGGGCTGCATTCAGGCTGTGTGGACTCCTGCTATGACTATGAACCACTGAGTTACTGCAAAATGACCAGAAAATGGATTCAAAATTGAATCCACAAATAATGTAATTACTGCAGCGTCTGCTCAGGGCTGCCAGAACAGGGGTTGGCTGCTGCCCTGGAAACATCTGGAGGTAAAGCCGCTGCTGCTGCTATAACCCCTGCACTAGTCCCTTTGGAGCAGCAGTGTTCTCCCATGCTGGAAGGTCCTGAGAGGGTGGAAAGAACATGGAGGGGGCAGGAAAAGGGACGTGGAGAGAGGCCAAGGAGAAGAAACAAGTCAAGGGCAAAGAAAACGATGCCTCCTGCTGCTCAGCAGTGAGGTCTAATCACTGCATCACTGGCAGAATGAAACCCAGTTGGTTGTCGTCACCCTCCTCATATCACCAACATTGTGACTACTGTCAACACCAGTACACCCACCAGCACCACAATCACTGTCATCACCATCAACAGTGGTATCTCCTCCACTCTTAACTGTATCAGCACCACCCTCACCACCCTACCATCATCATCTCCATCACTGCCATGACAGCAGCATCTTCATCATGACCAATCTCATCAGCCCCACCATCACCATTGTCACTCCCCCTGTCACCATCACTGTTACTGTCCTGGCATCAACATCTTCATCGTCACCAAGCTCATCAACGCCAACATCACCATTGTCACTCCTACTGTCATCATCACTGTTACTGTCATGGCATTAACATCATCATCACCAATCTTATCAATGCCAACATCACCACCTCTTCTCCCAGGACACTGTCATCATCATCATTACTGTCATGGCATTAACATCTTCATCGTCACCAATCTCATCAACGCCAACATCACCATTGTCACTCCTACTGTCATCATCACTGTTACTGTCCTGGCATCAACATCTTCATCATGACCAATCTCATCAGCCCCACCATCACCATTGTCACTCCCCCTGTCACCATCACTGTTACTGTCCTGGCATTAACATCATCATCACCAATCTTATCAATGCCAACATCACCACCTCTTCTCCCAGGACAAGAAGTCGTTGTGACCAAGGGGACTTGACTACTAGAAACCTGTGCCCTGCCCTTCTAGACTTTGCTCTCGGTTTCTAGAATCTTGAATTTCCTTCCCAACTGGACTTGAGCCCACTTCCAGGCCTGTAGGAGCCTCTTCCCTGTATCTACCCTCCAGAGGGAGAGCCATACCTCCAGGATGCACACTCTTAGGCCCTAGGGGTGACCGAGGACCAGCTGTTTGCAGGGGGTGGGAAAGTGCTTGGACATAAGGACTGGGGTGTCCACATGT